GCACCTCGCTGCCGGGATCGCACGGTGGAGAGGAGCTCGCTGCAAGAGGGAGACTGTGTCCCTCACTGGCTGTGCTGGGGGCTGTGGGGCAGCCCCACACGGTGCCAGGGCCCCATCAGCGCTTTCAGAGGTGGCCACTGCAGTTGCATGGCTGCTTCAGAGGAGCCACCCTCAGGAAACCACGGCAGCAGATCCCGGGTAAGCGTCGCTTCTGTGTACACGGGGACACCCAGGGCCTGGGGACAGGCTGCTGCCACCACAAGGGAAGCTGTCCCGTCCGCTCTCCACCCGGGCACCCCTCCTCTGTGCCAGCCATCCTTGCCACAAGCCTGGCCTGGCAGCAGCTCCCTGCTGGTTTGTTTTCAGCTGGGACAGGGAGCTGGAGCAGCACAGGAGAAGATGCAGGGTCAGGAAGGGGAGAAGCAGGAGGGAAGGGGACAGGGACAGGACACTGCCACGTCCCTTCGGCTGAACCCACCCTCCCAGCATGGTCAGGAAGCAGCACCAGGATGGAGTCACTCAGTTGGTTTTTACCAAGTAGGAAACAAGTGGTGGTTTACTTTTCTGATAGCTGTGTGTCTTTGCTCTTTCTCTTCAAAAGTGAACTACTTGAGCTTCTCAAGCCCAGCCCTATGACCCCTCGGGTCTGACTCCCAGGTGGGGAGTACACAAGCTGGGGGTGCAGGAGGCAGGGAGATGGTCCCGGCAGGAGGACGAGGGAATGAGGGCGGCTGGTGACGGGATGAATGTGGCGATCTGATGGGCACGTGGCTCTCGTGCCAGGCTGGCTGGGGTCTCACCACTGGTGGAACAGTGCTGGGAAGGGGCTTTCAGGAGAGGGTGGCAGGAGCAGGACCTGCGGCCTCTGTGGAGGAAGCCAGAGGTTTGGTGGCTGCACCGGTTGGCTCAGCTGAGTCCACCACAGCATGCAGGGCATCGTGGCTGGACATGCCCTGAAACAGTCTGGACACTGGGCCTGTGGGAATCCCAAGGAACACAAGCTAGATCCTTGCTGTCAAATCAGGCCTCACTGCAAATCACTTCTGTCTCATGCAAGAGGCACGTTCAGATGCACTGACCCAAAAAAGCCTCTTCCCAAGCCCCAGATGGCCCAAGGGGGTCTGCTAACGGCAGGAATAGAAGGATTTGGAGATGACCAAGCTGAGCTGGACCTTGGGGCCAAGCATCTTTCCAGGGCATATTTTGGATCCAACAGCAAAACCATGTGCTGTCAAAATCGCACTTAATCCCCCTAACAAGAACCATCTCTCTGGAGACGGTGCCAAGCCAAGCTTCTGCTGCTGGTCCCAGCCGGGGCAGGGTAAATATTTGGATAATATTAATTCCTGTGGTGAGAGCAAAACTCCTGCTTATTTTGCTAGTCTTCCGCTAATAATTCTGCTAATAAATCAGCGTGTTTTGAAAGCTCAGCCTGGTGCTGTGGGCCAGCGGCAGAGCTTTTATTGCTGGCTCTGGCCTGGCAGAGTGGGGCTGTGGCGTTCAGCTGAGCGTCCCCGCGTGCTGCTGGGGGACGGTCTGGGCTGGCAGCAAAGGGCTGGCCCGAGGCAAAGAACTTCGTGGTGCTGGCGGCGGAGGAAGAGGGGGCCAGAGATGGGTTGTGGGGGGTGAGACCTCCTGCCCCCCAGCTGTGGGCACGGCTGTGTGCTCTGGTCCTGCTGCCTTCCTCAGCTGGGTGCTAGTTTGAGGGTCCAGAGCATGGCCCAGGCTGCCCAGAGAGGTTGTGGAGTCTCCTTCTCTGGAGACACCCAAAGCCCTGGCCGTGTTCCTGGGTGACTGCTCTGGTGACCCTGCTCTGGCAGGGGTTGCACTGGGTGATCTGCAGAGGTCTCTGCCAACCCCGACCAGTCTGGGATTCTGTCACAAACGGCTCTTTGCTGGTGGCACTAGGAAAGGTCAGAACATTTGGGGGATGGTGGGGTGACTTGCTGGGTGCTGGCCGGGGCAGTGCAGGGGAGGGGGCTGTTTCGATCCAGTGCCTGCAGCTGGGGCTCAGGGAGGACAAGGACAAGGACAAGGACAAGGACAAGGACAAGGACAAGGACAAGGAGAAGGACAAGGAGGGGGCTCTCTCCCAGGGGCATGGAGCACGTCGCCAGCTTGCTCTCGAGTGCTGCCAGGCTGTGCCATGGTGGTGCTGTTCCCACAGTGCGATGGGAGTGGTGTTGGGGTGGGGGCAGAGCCTCCAGCCCCCTCTGAGCTGGGTTTGGCACCGTGAAGTTGGGCAGCACTGGCACTGCCACCATAGCTGGGATTTGGCATTTACGGTGTCCTCCCAGCTCAGCCTGGGGACTGCAGCGGGGTGGGGACTGGGGTGGTGGCCGCTCCAGCCCCCACCTCTGCAGCCCCTCAAAAGTGGGATAGCAGCGGGAAGGGAAGCTCTGGAAAGCAGGGTGGGTGTGGAGGGGACTGGCAGGACCCTCTGCTCTTCCCAAGGAATTCAGTCATAACCCATTCATTTAACACTGCCAGATGCCAGATGCTGACCCAGTTGGGGAAACTGAGGCATGGGGCTGCGTGTGAGGGAGACCTGGCTGGAGTAGAAGCACGAGGACTCTGAGCAGCAGCTCTCCCTCGCCCCAGACTTTCTTGTGAGGTTGTGCTGAGCTGACAGCCATCACTGTCCCTCTTCCATGCTGGTCTTTGCTGGCACCTTGCTGAGCTACACTTGCCAGGATTCGTCTGGGAGAGGTGTGAGCACCCTCCTCTCAAGCAACATTGGTGGTCACTGGGGCTGCCGAGCACCCCACATGGGTCGGGAGCACCCATGGTGCAGGGTGTCTTAAACGCTACCCACATCCCTCAGCCTGGCAGCGTGGGGGGTGACACCAAACCACTGCTTGGCAGCTCTGAAGGGCTTGGGTACCGTCTCAGTAGTGGGAATGGGCTCTGCTCCAGCCCTGCTCTGGGCACTTGCTTGCATGGGCTGGGGGCAGAACCCCCCTTTGAAAGGCCACGTTCTGCTGCCGTGTTCTTGCCTTGGTGGTGTTTGGGGTCTGTGTGGTCCCTTTGCTGTTCCCCATGGGACATGCGTTGTCCCAGGACAGCCGTGTCCCCAGGATCCGTCCATCCCAGTGTTCCCAAGGTCTGTTCATCTCACTGCTGCCCCCATCTTTGCCCCTCTGGGCCGTTCACTTCTCTGGGCATTCATTACCTGCAACAACAGCACTGGTCCTCAGCGCCCCACGGTCCCGGCGTTGCTCGGCCACTCTCTCCCCATGCTGCAGGGGCTCTGCAGCTCCCGCAAAGGGTTTCCAGTCCTCTCTCCCCTCCGCTTCGGGGCCCTTTCCATGGGCTCCCTGGGCAGAGTGTGGGGTGCACCCAGGCACCGTGGTGGGAAGGGAGGTGGGGAGCAGCCTTTGGCCGAACGCAGCGGTGTGGGGAGGTGGGATGGATAGAGCAGGAGGTATGGGACGACTGAGCGCAGGACGGAGGGGGAAGGGAGGCAGAGGTATGTGAGGAATGTGCCCGGGGCAGATAACCCCTTCTCGCTGGGTCCTGGGTGCTGTGCCGACCCCACCTCCCCGGGGATGTGGCTGGGGGCGGCTTTTGTGCAGGGAAAAGGGAGGAGGCACAGGGAGCCCCGGCACCCCACCGTCCTGGGAGCTGGGCTGGGGAGGGCCCTGCCAGGGGAGGGGAGGCCTGGGGGCGGGCACAGCTCAGCCCTGCCCAAAATGCTGAGGCATCTCCGTGGCCCGGCCCCAGGCCTGGCGGCAGTGGGGAGTGGGCTGGGGGCTGGGTGCTGGGCCTGACGTCTCTCCCTGTGCCTGGGGTGCCAAGGGGATGGGCAGCAAGCAGGTTGGAGGGTTTAGAGGACGAGGGCCTGCCAGGGGAGGGGAGGCCTGGGGGCGGGCACAGCTCAGCCCTGCCCAAAATGCTGAGGCATCTCCGTGGCCCGGCCCCAGGCCTGGCGGCAGTGGGGAGTGGGCTGGGGGCTGGGTGCTGGGCCTGACGTCTCTCCCTGTGCCTGGGGTGCCAAGGGGATGGGCAGCAAGCAGGTTGGAGGGTTTAGAGGACGAGGGTGCTGGCAGAGAGCCCTGCCCACAGCCCCTGGGGACAGCCCTGGGGGTGCTAATTAGAGCCTGAACCTTGCTTGTCCCCACGTCTGACCTGTGACCGCCTTGTCTCACTGTTGCCAAATCGTGAGACAGCCAGGGAAACTGAGGCAGGGGGCTGGAGGTGCCAAGAATCGTGCGTCCCTGCCTCTGCTCCGGCCCCCGGGCCCTGTCTGTCCCTAGCCCTCCTGATGCTCCCTCCTGCCCTGTCCTGCCCCAGGTACCCCCCCAGCCGCCAGGATGTCCAGCAAACGTGCCAAAGCCAAGACCACCAAGAAGCGCCCCCAGCGCGCGACCTCCAATGTCTTTGCCATGTTCGACCAGTCGCAGATCCAGGAGTTCAAGGAAGCCTTCAACATGATAGACCAGAACCGCGATGGCTTCATTGACAAGGAGGATCTGCACGACATGCTGGCTTCCCTTGGTGAGGAGACACTGCCCTCATGCCTCCCCGTGTCCCTCTGCCCCTCGACGCCTCCTTGGCAAGTGAGGAGAGCTGCTGGGTGACCCAGTGCCTTCCACCCAGCACTGAAGACTGGCTTTGGTGGGATGCCACTGAGGCACAGCCCTCCTGCTTTGGGCCAACCTAATGCTGGTTGCAAAATTGTGGGGTGGAGGGCGTTTCTCTGCTTGGCACCAGGTGACCATAGAGGGTGCCTTTGTGGGGGCATCCAAGACAAGGTGTGACACCTCGTCCCATTGAGACTTGTGGGTCTGGCCGTGCTCCCCACCCAGAGCCCATTCTCTTTTGCTGCAGGCCACGGCTCCCACCTCTTGCTGCGGTTCCTCCGTGGCGCTCTGGGAGGTCTGTCAATGATTGACCTGGCAGCCAAACCTGTTCTGGAGGTCCTGCCCGGCCAGGAGGGATCTCCCTTCTCCCCATGAGCCACAGCTCCGGGTGCAGAGTGGCGCTGGGGGCGCACAGACCCCCACAGAGGAGGTTAAACTAACCCCAGTGCACCCAGCGCTGGGGCCATCAGCAGCACCGGGCTTGTGTGGGGACGTTGCTGCCCCTCTCCTCGGGTGGTGCTGAGTGGCAGCTGCCATGGGAAGGGGGAGAAGCCGTGGGGTCAGTTTCTGGTGCCCCCCAGGTGAATTCCTGCATCCCTCTCGGGGCTGAGCCTGGCAGAGCTGGGTTTCAGGCGGCCTCTGGCACAGATCAAAGCATGGGGAGAGATGCCCAGGGGGGAGCACTGGGCAGTGTGGAAACGCCTTCCCTTGTTTGTAGGGTGGGTGGATGTGCACCAGCAATGGACAAAAAGCATTCAGGGACTGCTTCTATGAAGCTCA